AACTCCACTCTTCCGTGGGGTCTGTTCTGAATGCAACAGACTTCTGAAACATCAGGAGTCAACTCATTCAAGTAAATTAATATGCCTATGATGTTCCAGGTTGGTTTTTTTTTTTTTGGGGGGGGGGGGGGGGGGGGAGGGGCAGGAGGTGAGAAGTCTTTATCAATGTCTGTATCCAATAGGTCTCCTTCTCATTCATCCCCACGTATATGAACTAGTTGGTACAACCCAACATTTCAGCTTTCCCTGGGGAAATTAAAAGAGCATCAAAAACTGTTGGTGTTCATTTTTTACTTGGCATTAGCAGATCTTCCACAATTACCTCAATTTCATCCAAATCCCTACAGAACGGGAACATAACGCTTCAGCATGCCTTGCAAGTGACAGGTAGTGTCTTATTGCTTTCTTCCTTAAGATGAAACTTGTCTTTCAATTTGCAAAAATAGCTTATCATTTAAAAGTCTAGATACGACCTCCTCTGCTGTCCTCATGACATGTCCTCATGTTCTGTTGTGAATGTGCTCCCTCCTGTGCTGTTAATTTAGTCTGATTGATGTAGAAATTTGCTCAAAACAGCTATCACCATCTACTGGCTGGTTTGTTGCGTCTTAAAGTTAACAGGGTTTTAAGGTCTGGTGTTTCTGGGGGACTGTAGAGGAAGTCAAAAAGAGTCAAAAAGGGTATCACTGATTTATTATGTCCCTGCAGGATATAATATTACTAATTTCTCATCAAAATAGTTTTATCTAATTATTGTATCTACTAATGCATCCAAGCATCTACACTTAACCAGGCAAAAATGAATCGCCCTTTTTTACATTTCAAACTCCATGTATGGGCTTTTAACATATAGCCTTTGTCATATAGCACGTATTTCCAGATGCTGAAATGCAAGGATTTCTTAAAAGCTTATTAGCCTTTTCCTGGCCTGATTTACCTTCTATTTTCCTCAATTCAGAAGCAACGTGACACAACAGCTGTTTAATTATGAGCCTCAGTAGATGATAAGCATGTTGTATGCAATTAGAAAAGATGGTCCTCACTTTGCCTGACTGGGTCATCATTTTTAATGTAGGGAGCAAAATCTGCTGCACTGAATGAAGGACTCTCCTCTCTATTGCATAAAACGTAGATTATTTGTCTCTACTTCCAGGGCTTTTTCTGGCCAATATCCTTGTTAACTCTCATCTAATCTCAATGGGAGATAAACTCTCCCACTGCCCAGCCAATGTCTGCCCTTTCTCTTCCTTTCTATTACCCCCCAAAAACTGCTTTGGGCTTGGTCCCATGCTGTTCTCACATTTATGAGGATGTCTCTGTAAACATCCTCAAGAATATCTCATTATCCTCTTCCAGACAAGAGGATGAAATGAAAACACCTCTGAGGCTCATAGGACAGTCATTAATCTTGAACATGCCATAGCTATAACAAGGTTCACACAGCTCAAGTGTCATTTCTGAACTGTCCTGCTTACATTTATTCAAGCCCAGCATTATGTAACAATAACCTCACACATATGATGAGACCCAGCAAAACACTGTGTTTCTATCTTCATCATCACAGATTTGACCTCCAGCTGTGTAACCATTGCGGTATTTTTTATTTGTGTTTCTTTGAAAAAAACATATAAGGAGGAAGCAGGAAGATTCTGTTGCTTAATTCCAGTTTTTACTGTGTATCGCTGTTCTCTGTGCTGAGTACTTCTCTGTTGTTTTGACTGCCTTCACATTTACTGTAAATAAATCTGGTCTCTGTGGTATGTTTAGCCCTCTGTTCTACCTTCCCGCTGCTGAATTGGAGGCACTTTTTTTTTTTTTTTTCCCACAGCTTGCTAACATTGATTTTTGGGAAGCATAGACTTCAGTAACCATACACTTACCCTGCAAACCTGGTTATAACTGTGTTGTGACCAGGTTATGAGTTATAGCATAAATAACTTGATCTGCTCCCAGGTCAAATGTTTATTATTTAACTTTATCACATTTGTCTATAACAAAAAGCTCAATTGTTAGACAGAGCAGTTACTTTCTTACGAAGAAAACTGCCTTTCTTGTGCAGCATTCCTACGCCGCTCACAGTATGCTTCACACCCATCCAAGCTGTTTGCAGCCCCCCTCATGCTTGCTTTGGCACAACAGAAAAGAACTTGATAACCCACTACCGAGTAAATCTGTTTCTCTCCTGCAAAGGATCCAGGCAGAGAACTCAACGGTTATCCAGCTAAGCCAGGAGAAGGCTGGCTGTAAGTACACTTACAGCCTATATTAAATATAAATATGTGTATATTTGTGTTTAAAGGAAACTGAGCTGAATGAGAATCATCAGCTGCCATCAGCAGGTTGAGAGCTGAAGAGTGAGACTATAGGCTGGCTATGCCCAGGTGCTCTAGTGAGTTCTTATTACCCTTAGCCCCACTCCTGGGAAACTGACAATCATGGGGAGGGCTAGAAACTTGGTTGGTTAAGCTTCTATGACAATATAATATTTGAAAGTAGAATATTTAGGTGAATAATGAATAAACCTGTAGAAGCAGAGGCTCTCCGCATGGCCAACTTAAAAACTTACAGTCTGACAAGCAGTAGTCAACATCCTTCTTCAGGCCATTGGCTATAAAATGCCCTCCTGAAATGATACGTACTGGGTTCCCAGCTTGGTTCTAGAGACTGGTAGCCCGTGAGAACTGATAATGGGACTCTCAAGTTCTGCAGGATCAGCAGGCCAAAAAATAAAGACAACAATAGCAGCAGATGCCCTAATTTGCAGGGGGCATGCAATAGCAACACATTTTAAACACTTGTCTGTAAAGCAGGAGTCATGTCCTTTCACTACACTTTATGCAACTGGTTTAACTTTCAGAAATGCTCCCACATAGGACTTTGATGTATTCAGCTTCTTTGAAAATCAGGAAAGATACTTAACTGGCAAAATTGGAGTTCTTTATTATTAACCAGGCAACCCGATTGTAAATACAGGTACAGCCAAACTGCACACATGAAGTTTGAACATATCTAGCAAATACTTATTTTAGATTAGAGACTAATTTTGGTAGGTCCAATTCTGCAAGCTTCATTTCTTTTCCAGACGAATCCTTCCCATTATTTGACAAAGATCTTAATTATTTTGCTCAAAACTCTTGGAAGTAAAGACAGTGTCTATAAGAAAATCAGTGGTCCAACTGATTCTGCATTTTGCCAAAAACATTATACTCTTTAGAGGAAAGTTCATGGTGCCATCCAACTATATAAAGGTACCGTGAATGTAAATAGCCTCCTAATCTTTCCTCTTGAACATTCCACTGAGACATGACAATTAATAGCCCTTGTAATTACCAGGGCAGAAAATACAACAGCAGATGTTGCATCTTCACTAATTGTCTAATGCTCTTAGAAATTTGGAAAATTATTTCTCTCAATATCATTCTTTGATGCAAGTTCCATAGATTAATCATCCATTACATTAAATATGATTACCCATTCTTGACCCAAGCGGTGAGCAGTAAATGAGGGTTCTAAGGTTTCATTGCTGCCACTGGGAGGGATAAACACAAATAAACAAAAGGAAAAAGCAAACTATTGAAGAATCAGAGATTTCACTGATGCAATCCTGTTTGTCCACAAAGAATGCCCAAACTCTTATTTCTCTGAGAATAAGAAGAATTAAACAAGATGAAGTTATTTCCTTATTCATTATCCCAAGCATCATTTTGGTTACCAGTGTACCTGAATAGCTCTTTCCTGATTCCTTCCTGCTGTTTTATTTTGTTGTGTTCTGCTTCCCCAAATCCATACTCCCTATTTTGCTTTGTATCTCTAGCTTCCTGTTCACTGTCTGTGTTAGATTCCATTATGCTATTTCTCATACCTAGATAAAACCACAAAAATCAGTGTCCAGCCCCTGCACTTGCCAATGAAGTGCCTGGCAAATGGCACCCTGCACATCACTGGAAACAGAGTAAAATTGACAGGAGTACTTAACCATTGCTCCCTTCTTCCCCCAAAGAGCAGGAAGAACTGCAGCTGCACGACCCCAGATGCATGCGTTATTTACTGAGCCACAGAAGTATATGGTTTTGTGGTACGGACTTTCACACCAATCACTACTATCCTTTGTACCAGGCAAAGACGTTTCAGAAAAACAAACAAGCATTTCTCTATCTTCATTCTGTGGCTGAAGTTGTAACATTTAACATTTCCGCCTTTAATGAACTAGAGCCACGCATGTTCAACACCATGGATAACATGAACTTTATTCACAGAGACGAACAGGAACTCTCCATGCATTTGAAGAGTAGAAGAGAGATATCTCTACAGCTATGTGTTCACCTTTCAATAATTTCTCTCAACCTAAACACTGTAATTACAGCCTACACTTCATAAAATTCATGAGAGTGTGTATTTACACACACGAGTGATGTAAATATCCTCTCTATCCAAGTTTACACATTAAAATACTGCCAAGTCTCAACAATGACTGTCTGTTTGTGCCTCCTCTGGAGTCAGAGAGTATTTTAATATGCTTACTAGAAGCATTATTAATTAATGAGATGATGTTTAATTTAACTTGAGTGTAAATACAGTTGACACTCATCATCTAATAATGGTTTCTGTTAGAGAAGGACAGAGAAAACGAGGTTAGGAACTCAGCCGAGATGTGACACTGCTGCTTCAAGCCCCTAGTCTGCCCATTACCACCTTCTTGTTGTCCAACAATTTCAGGTCAGGTATTTCACATGTAAAACTCCAACAGCACTCTTGACTTTGAATAAAAGCAGCCCTTGTTACTATAAGCAATGCAACAGCAAGGCAAGCATTGAAGACTCCCGTTTTCCAAACAGCAAACCTTGCTTTACCTTATGGGACATCATGCATCCTTCACGTCCCATCTATTTATACCGAAAGCAGTCGCTCCAACGCCTAACACTGACGCCCTGTGCAGTGATCTCTACACGCCACACAGAGAAACTAATGTTTGCAGAGACCCGGTCTGTTTCTCTACCTACCCACAGGCTCCCCGTTAAGTGATTTCATTTTAAGGCAGCCTCCCACGCTTTGCACGGTGACGATTAGCAGCCACGAAGCGCCACGGGAGCTGCGGGAGGCGCCGAGGCTCCTGCCCTCCCGCGGGGACCCCGCGGTCCCACGAGCGGCGCCGCCGCCGCGCAGGGGCCCGGGCCCCACGGGCGGCATCCCTGCTCCGCTACCAGGACACTGCTCCCCGCCCCTGCAGTGGGGATGAGAATAACAGCACGGAAAAAATAATAGTAAGCAGCAGCTGTGGCAGCAAACCCGCGGCTGAGGCACATGCTCAGGACCAGTTGCTTCCAACGACTTGTCAGTAGTATTTTTTTTAAGGGTGCTATTCGTTGGTTGTGGCACAAGCTGTCTAATTCCCTTGATACACCGACAGACCAGGTTACCGAGCACTTCAGGCAGAAATTAAGCACGAGAACTTGGGCTAATTTTCAAGCCCCATCTTAAACACAACAAGTAAGTACTGTGCAACGCCCTGGCTCCGGACAGCACCCCGCAAAGGAGCGGAGCCAATGCTAAGCGACCCAGTGAAGACGGAAATCTTCTCTGGGGAGCAACGATAACGGGGGGTCAAAAATCCCCGCTCTGAAAATGTTCCTGCTTTCGGGACGTTTGAAGTTAGCCCCCTCCCCAGCCCGCCTGCACCGGTCCCGGCTCGGCTGGCACCGCGGGGCCGGCACTGCCAAGATGCTGAAGGACGAAGGGACACGGGGGATGCTCACGCCCCAAAAACCCTCGCGCCCTGAGGGGTTTCGTCGCCTCTGCCTCCAGGAGCGCGCCGACCATTGCGGGCAGAGCGGGGCTCCGCTCCCCCC